AGGGCCAGCAGGACCCATGCTTAAGGCATTTATGTCCCTTTCCTGAACATCTGCCTTATACTTTTGGAATTTCTTTAACCTTCTATTAGGTTATGTGTCTTTGAGAGCAGTAGACCATGTATTAAATTGCTTTTTTCATTCTCCGCAGTTCCTTGCATATACTGAATTGCATGTGACTCATTTGCTTATTTATAAATGATAATATCCACTTCAAAGTAATACTGTGAATTTGATCAATGCCTGTCAACCGCTTAGTACATGCCTGATGCATGTGATCAGACAATGCTTGTCAACCACTTAGCATGTACCTGATACATGATCAGACAATGCCTGTCAACTGCTTAGCACGTGCCCGATACATGTGAGGCCCAACAATGGCAGCCAGGGCCTCTGTGCACTTAACAAAGCATATTGATTTGAGTTAAATTGCTTAAGGCAGACAAAAGTTGCTAAAGCTGGGACGTTAAGAGGACAATATATTTCAGTACTGCCCACCTGTATGACAGGGAAGGATGGAGGGGGAGGGGGAATGAGAGGGGAGGGGAGGGGAGAGGGAGGGAATAGGGAAAGAAAAAGGAGAGAGCAGAGAAGGAGGAGGAGGGAAGGGGGAAAGCAGGGAGGAGGGGACGTGGGGGGAGAGGAAGGAGGAGCAAGAAGATGAAGGGAGGGGCAAGCACTATGTCAGCTGCAATCAGTGTGACCAGGGAGGGAGGGAGGGAGGGCGGGGAGGGAAGGAAGATCAGGTAGATAGATAGATGATAGACGGGCAGAAATAGGTGGACAGTCAGGCAGAGCCCGGCCACGATATAAATGGGGGTTCCTGGCCTGCAGTCTCTTTCTACCTTCCCTTCCCACCATATCCCACTTGCCACCCGGTGTGCATGCATGTGATCCCTCCAAGCCAGGCATCCTAGGTAGCCACCCTATGGCCACACACACTCACCAGGAATTGCAGTAGTCACTGCCATCTTTAGGCCGGGGCAGCCAGAAGCTCTGCCCCATGCCCTGTGCCACATCCCTCCCCCTAACAGTGAGGACTCCGTGAGCCCTAAAGGAGGTTCCCACCCAGGGTACCTGTCCCAATCTCTAGAACGTGATCTGGATGCTTACGCTTAGAATTCCCTGACCCAACAGCTCAGACCTGACTCTAGGGCCATGTAGGCCTTTACCCGTGTAGCTCCCTGAGGACAGCCAGTGCTGGTGGCACGTATGCTCACCCTAGGCCCTGGGGTCCACTAGGTGGCTACCTAGGATGCCTGACTTGGAGTGACAGCAATCTGCATGCACCACTGGCACAAGCCGAAAACAGAAGGCGGCAGGAAGCCCCATCCATCTCCAGGTCTACTCCAGCCCAGCGTGGACCCCAGTGATGGGCTCAGATTCCAGACTCAGAGGACGTTTGTCCAGAGAATTCCAAACAATGCAACAAACTGGCAACAGGATGGTTTGTCTCAGAAGCTTCCTGAAGTACCTGGGGCCACCGTATAAGGGCTGTGATCTTGCATAATCAAGTAGTATGTTTGGTTCAGGCATGAAGGATCTGGTGTGTGATGCTGCAGCCCCTGGATATCTGCTTATTCGTCCAGGTGTACATGCTGGGGTGGCTTTAGTACTTAGAGTTCTCTGGAGCTGGGGAGCCAGTGAGTGTGCCCTGAGGTCCCCCTCTCAACAGGTTAACAGCGGCAACACCCAAACCACCACCAGTCCCACCTACAGCATGTTTTCCAACCTATCCTTTCCTCACTCTCCCATCTGGACATGGTCCTCCAGAAATGTGGCTCCCAGGACAGAAACCAAGTTGCTAGGAGCTCTCATCACTCTTCCCATGCGGAGCCCACTTCCATTAATGCGGCCTCAGACTGTAGTAGCCTTGTGTCAGCTTTCTATTGCTATGGGTCAAACAGCCACAGCTTTAGAGCTTAGAACGGCACCCACGTATAAGCTCCCAGTTTTGCAGGTCACAAACTGGGCACAGGGTGTCTGGATTCTCTGCTCAGGTTATCATAAGGCTAAAATGAAGGCGTTGGCCAGACTGAACTCTCCTGCTTCACATTCAGTCTTGTGGGAAGAACCCAGGACTGTGCGGTGGGAGGACTGAGGTCCACTTCCTTGTCAGCCGTCAGCCAAGGGCCGCTGTCAACTCCAAAAGGTCACCCACATTCTTGCCATGCAACCCCTCCTTCTTCCAGCCACCAAAGGCACATCAAATCCTTCTCAACTCTCTGACTTCCTGTGTCTGACCTTCAGACCAAGACTTACAGAGCTCATGGATTAGGTCAGGCCCTCCCAGATAATTGCCCTATGCTCGGGTCAACTACTTGGGAGCCCTAATGTGTCTGCAAAACCCTTTGTGCTGTAAGCCCCGGAGCCATGGCTCATCGTTGCCACAGGTTCCACTCAAGGGGAGGAGAACATATAAGGGCAGAGTTATGGGGGTTATGTGAGTTGAGGGTTTTCAGGGAAAAAGAGCAAATAGGTTACATAGACATAGAGAGAGACTGAGATACAGATAGACATACATATACACATGCTAAGAGATGTATTTTAAGGAGCTGGAGCACATGGTTGCAGACGCTAGCGAGTCTGAAATCTCTAGGGCAGACCAGCAGGCTGGAAACTGAGGCAGGAGCTGATGCTGCAGTCTTGAAGCTGACTTCTTTGGGAAACCTGCTTTTGCTCTTAAAGCCTTCAACTGATTGGATGAGGCCCATCCATACTATGAAGATTGCTCTCTTTTATTTATAGTCAACCAATTCTAGATGTCCGCCACATCTACATCATAACTCAACAGCAACACCTGGATTGGGTTTGGTCCTGCCGCCCAGTGAAGTGGACTCATAAACCAGCCTTGCAGGGGTCATCTTAGAGTTGCACGTATACCACTCGGTGAGCGTCTGTACCACACTAATGACCTATGTCATGGTTGTGGTCAGCCAAGGCCCTTGGGCACATTCCAATATGCATGTCCAATGTTACACCTGTCTGTTCAAGAGCAGAAAAGTATCTCCAGCTCCACCCATGCCTGGAGAAGACATGATTCTCAGGGAGGAGGGTCACCCACAGCCATGCCCTCAGAATGTTCTAGAGGGGCTTGGCAGCCCTCCCACCCCATCCCTCATGCGGAACCCCAGCCATGAGCCCCCGCATCTCAGTAGCAGAGAGGCCCTGGCTCTGACAGCTCTTCAGGGGGTGAGGCATTTGCAAAGCCCAGTAGTGGCCCCATGCATATGTATACATTTTACACAAAGCCTGTTTATTTCAAAAATCAATTCCTCTCCTACAGATAGCATATTGCAAAAAAGAAACAAGAACACAGCAGCCGCTCTGCCAGTAGCAATTCTGGTCCTTCGCCTCAGTGTGGCTGGGACATCTTATGTGGGGGTGCATTTGCATTTCAGGGCTCCTGATTCCTCCTGCCCTGGAGCAGAAGGAGAAGCCCTTCTACCTGGACCTCATGTACTGAGAGAGAATACCATCTGTGGGGCCGCTGAGCAGGGAAGGGGGTCCAAGCCCGGGAGGAACCAGGAGTGGGCATCGGCTCAAGGGGACTGAAGAGGAGAGTCATAAAAATGCCAGGGAAATGGGGCCTGAAAAGTCTGCCCCATTACCTCAGTCTCCCCCATCGTGGAGAACATTCAGGATCTGATGGTTCCACATGGCAGCCAGTGTAAGTTGCATTTGTCACCTTGCGGAGTGTCTGCGATACCCCCACCTCACCCGCATTCTCCCACATCAGCCACAGGGCTGGCAACGGGCTGTCTCCAGGAAGACAGTGCTGTGTAAGAACACAGGGCACACGTGTTCTTGCTGTAAATCGCATCAGAACACCGGAGCAGACACACCTGTGACCCTGACTCACATCCTCAGCCTGACCTTAGGTTTCAGCTGCAGCCCATGCAGACATTGCTGGGGGCCTTGGCTCACACTGAGTTCACAGAATCTGGCCTTGCGTATGCAGGGTCCCCATTTTATAGGTGCACCTCCCCTTCAGTGACACCCTCCTGGCCTGTGGATAAGTGCAGCTCAGACACTAGGACTGTGAGCAGCCCTGAGCAGTGCCCTCAAATAAAGGTGGAGAGGTGGGAGGCGGGAGGCGGGAGGCAAGCGCCACCTGTGCAGCTGCTGACAATTCCGGGCAGCAGCCTAAGTGTGGCTCCGAAGGACCTGGAGGAGCACAGCGTCTGTCTCATAGCAGCCACCACACAGCCCCCATGGCGGCATGTCCTCCTTCCCTGCTCCACTCTCTCCTGCTCCTTGAGATCTCCTTCCAGAAAATGATATAGACACAAGTGTTCCAGCTCCTGATTTCAGGGGAGACCAGAGCTAGGACCTCTCGGGAACTCATTAAGTGCCAAATGCTGGCTGGGCTACTGGGCTAACTCTGCCCCAGACCCAACCACAGTAACCTGGATGGTGAAAAAGACATATTAACAAACTTGACTGTGGAAACACGTCTGTGGGAAATTCACGTCACCAGGAAATTAAGAAACCACAATAATTCCTTTAAAAATTCAAACTCCCTCAGGGGAAATTTTATGTACTTTTACTTCCCTGTTTTCAGCAATGCTGGAAGTCAAGGTTGTTGAGGAGAATATACTTACAACACTTCTAAAACTTACTGACAGGAATAACAAGGAGGAAATTGAGGCCTGGGCTGGGAGGGTCCGAGCAGACATTCGTTATGGAGGCAGCGCACAGACAAACTTAGGATCTACTTCCCCAGCTTCTAGGACAGGAAAAGAGGACAAGGTGCATGAGGTGCCTTAGGCTACGAGCTATGATTGCCTGCTCGGAGGAGGGGAGGTGGAAATTACAAAGGTCAATAAATACGTGATCAGGAGACAGACACTTAGAATAGGAACTGGCATCTACAAGATAGCATAACGCACTGCGTCTGTCAGCACAGATTGGGTTGCGTTGTGTAACAGTGCGGAATTTTGGTGGCTTAAACCCACCGAGATTTACTCCCCTCTTACACTAGGTGTCCCTAGAGGGTGGGCCTGGGGCTCTCTCCACGTGGCCTTCACTCCAGGCTGAGGCACGAGCAGCGGCTGCTGCCTGATTCATGGCCAGTCACTGGCAGCCAGAAGGAACACGGCGAATTGCTCAGGGTCATGTAAAGCTTCTGCCCACACTGTCACTTCTGCTTGCATGTCATTGACCGAGGCCAGTCACAGGACCAACCCAGGTAAGTTAGGAGTGCAAACTTAGCAGAGGGCAGAGCTGGTAATAACTGGGAAGGAATGTTAATTACTATAAAAACATATTTATAAACATCTCCTCCAGGCCTCAGAAGATGAGGCTCCCACACTGTTTCTGGGGCACAGAGGCGTGCTAAGTGGATCTTAATTGTATGATTAATTTTTTAATTAAGTAATTATTTAAAATTAACTGTAGGATTGGTTTTTTGCCATTTTCAGATATAATAAATACCACTGACATTTGGTTATCTGTGGTCTGGTCTTCATTATGATGTTAATATTTTACTAATGAAGTATATGTATATTTAAATACTTAGTAATATTTTAGTACTGTTTGTGTGTGCATATAATCTTAATATTTTTGATTTGATTAATTTCATTTATATATCAAGGCATTCATTTTTTTACTCTGCGACTTCAGCATCAAGTTTAAATGTGGTTGCCGGTTTCCTATAAAGCCCTGTGTTCCACAAGCAGGCATTGCTTCTTTTTAATGACTCTAGGATCCCTTCTTAGGTGTTGGGAAAGGACCGCCGTATTTTTCATCACAGGAATCCAGTCCCACAGCCCTAATAGTGGGCAGCATTGCTTCTAAAGGGCAAAACAAAGACCAAAAAAGACAGGGGTTGGAGCAAAAATTAAATAGCCAAGGAGGTCAGCATCAAAACAGGGAGAGGAAAGGGGTTAAAAAGAGATTGTGAGCAGCCCACCTGTTCCAACACCCCTCATGCACTTGATAGGAAGTCTGAGGAAGCCTCCAGAACAGTCACTGGCAGATTAGAGCTGTCCCATGCTGCGCTGACCCTCCCTACATAGTTAACTAGGAACGCAGAGCTATGGTCTCAGGCAGGTGGTCAGCACACACTGAGGCCAGAGCTACAGAGGCCCTGGGGCTGCTTGCGGGGACCTGGGGGTGGAATCTGAGGTCCTACCGGGGCCAAGGGCTCTCAACCTCATCATGCCTCCCTGTAACCCACCCCAGACCCTGACCCCCTCACCAAGGCCAGGCAGGGTCATCTCCCACCCTCTTGCTCCACCCCTCTTCAACCTGATGCCTGAAATGCCTATTCTCAGAATCTCCTTCGCCTGGTGATTCAGAATCAAATTCAAGGGCTGGATCAAGAAAGACCCTCACTGAAGACGAAAGGAAAGCTTTCTATCTGTCTTTGTTCAATATGTGAACGCATGTTGCTAATAACCCAGGGGCAAGAGACATCAGGAAAATGGGCTTATTTACAGTCTCCAGCTGATACTCCATTCATTTGTAATGAGGAGATACTTGATATTTGTAATGAGGAGAGCAAAAATGTTTACCTGCTTTGCAAATGCCCCAGGAGGGGAAATGCAGCGAGGGCCTGGCCCGGTCTTGGTCACCCACTGGCTTTGTGTGAGCAACTACTTTGCATCTCTGAGACTGTTTCCTCAGCTGTGAAATGGAAAATGAAAGAGAGTCTAGGTGGAAGGCCGGCAAAAGTCCTGATCTATTTAAGTGACACCATTTTACTGAATGCCATGATGTGGGTCCTATTTGATGTCCGTTCCAAGTCCTTTTAAAAAATGTAACACTACATTCTGCCTGCCCATTTATGATTGATCCTTTCTTTCAAACAGATACAAGCCTCCCTCTATAGCCTCGGGTGGTCTCCCAGGATTAGAGATACGTAGTAAACATTACTTAATAGTCTTCGTGTGACTGTATGCAAATGAGAAGCCAGTCTGGCTTAAGCCTTGTTAACTCTTGTCAATCTTACTTAGATATTTTAATTCACTTACAATAAAAATTAATGCTTTTTAAACACTTGCTCTGTGCCAGGCACTATTCTAACAGGTTACATTTGGTAAACACCCTCCTACACCCTCCTATTGGGTCCTCATAATAACTTGGTGAATTGGTGCTGTTATTATGTTCCCTTTTTACAGATGAATCCCTGGAAGCTGGGAAAGAAGTCCATCTCTTCACTCAAAGTGGGCAGAAAAAAAAAAGGGCAAATTTCCTGATAACTAGACGCAGGCATACTTGTCTCATTGCTTCAGACACGATCAGAGCCGCTCTTGGTGCGGCTGTTGGACACCTGGAAAGGCCCCGCCGGACAGACATGGTAAGGACTGCTTTAAAAGGTCCATTGCTTGTAGAGGCTCAAGCCAAGTGGCAGGATACCAAACAGCAATGAGAGCAACAAACACCATTATGCACTAATAACTCCTGCTTCGAGAGCACCTTCCAGGTACCAAAGACTGTGGACATATTAACTCTATTCATCACAAAAACCCTTCTAAACTTTCCTTTGCTGAGATGAAGAAACTGAGCCTTTTCTCCTGACAGCTGAAAAAGCAGTTAGAGCCAGGGCCCCGGAAGTTCATTCCAGGTGGGCATCATGAACCCTTCTTCCCAGGTGAAGGAGTTGAGTGGCTTGTCCTTGGTCACAGCAGAGCTGGTTAGTGATGGACTCTGGTCCACACATGAGGTCAAGCTGCCTCCAGACACAGCTGCATCAGTAATTCTCACCAGCAAACCCAGCTCCTGGTGACCACAGGACCCTAACACCTGGGTCAGACCCACCTCCCCAGCCCAGAGGCTCGGCAGGAGAAATCTGCCCCCAGCAGTCAGCAAAGATGCTGGCATCAGTCCCGGATCCTCTTTATAATCAGTGGTCGGATGTCCTGATGTTGCTGTCAGAATAGGGATCCAATAATATGTGGGGTGCCACTGGAATGTGGAGGAAGAAGCCAGACGGAGGCAACCTCCAGGTGGGAGGTAGAGATCAAAGGGTGGGTGACCTTGGCCAGAAAGCCCCGGAATGCAGACTCTGTGTCATCCTCCACAGGGGCCTTAGAACCAGGGGAAGCAGGGCCTGGCAGGCTCAGATTTGTGGCCTAGAAGGAACTCTCTGCTGGCTCCAGGTGCCGGCTGGAAGGCAGGGAGCCGGACTGCACCGGAGAGAATTCGCAGCCAGCTGGAAGGAGCCAGTGGCACATGAAGGGCGAGTGCAGCCTGTGCCATCAACATTCATTGACTGTGTTTTGTTTTGTTTTTTTGTAGATAATTATTTTTTATTGAAGGGTAGTTGACACACAGTATTACATTAATTTCAGGTGTACAATACAGTGATTCAACATTTATATACATGATAATTCTAGGTACCAGCTATCACCATACCAAGTTGTTACAATATTTTGACTATATTTCTTATGCTATACATTACATCCTGATTACTTATTTATTTTACAATTGGAAGTGTGTACTTTCTTTTTTTTGTGAGGGCATCTCTCCTATTTATTGATCAAATGGTTGTTAACAACAATAAAATTCTGTATAGAGGGGTCAATGCTCAATGCACAATCATTAATCCCCCCCAAGCCTAATTTTCATCAGTCTCCAATCTTCTGAAGCATAACGAACAAGTTCTTACACGGAGAACAAATTCTTACATAGTGAATAAGTTACATGGTGAACAGTACAAGGGCAGTCATCACAGAAACTTTCGGTTTTGATCATGCATTATGAACTATAAACAATCAGTCCAAATATGAATATT